TGACCAATTGACAAGTTTTTTTTATTTAAAAGAAATAATAATGGCAGGTTGAACCAACAAGAAGGTTTTAGTTTATCAATCATAATCTTCTTGACAAGATAAATCGTCAAACAACTTTGATCTGAATAATTTTGAACTTTACTGACGAACAGTTAAAGATTATTTTCTCTAACTCGAGATTATTCTGTAACATAGTTTCAAAGGGTAATATGTGCTCGCGATTCGTTGAAGGAATCAATTTGAAAACTGACGAACCTTTTCATTCCGTGACTGTACTATCGGCAACAGTGTTAACTGGCCATTGTCGGTCATGTCGTCTTGTTCTATCGCAAAGAATCACCATTAGATCAGAGCGAGAGCAAACACGGAAATGGATAGTTAACACTGAGGCCGTGTGTAGGTACGCATTTAACACACTCAGTTCGATAGGTAGCACTTCCAATAGATATGACCCACGTTTGGCGAACTATCGTGGAGTTTGGTCCACGATAGTTCGCCTAGCCAACTCACCGCGTGAGCATCACCATTTCCCTCCTCAGCCAATGTCTCGAATATGCTCCTAGCCTTATCCACGTCTAGTTCTACTCCCTCCCCAAAGATGTGCGACCAAGCCAGCTTGATCTTGGCAGGGACGTAGCCTTTCTCGACTTGATCTTACAGGCATGTAGCAGTTAAATAACTTACCGCATGAGCATCACCATTTCCCTCCTCAGACAGCGTTTCAAATATGCTTCTAGCCTTATCCACATCAAGTTCTACACCCTCTCCGAAGATATGAGACCAAGCCAGCTTGATCTTGGCAGGGACGTAGCCTTTTTCCGCAGCGTGCTGAACTTGCAAAATGGCGCCGCGTAGGTCCGGAGAGCGACGCTTTAGCTTTGCTACAGCGGCGTCGTATATTTCTTTGGCTGGAATCATTTTGTGGATAGAAACAGTATGATTTTGTATAGGTTAAACTTAGGCTAAAGAGGCAGTGTTAAACCCTAAGGAGGAGTTTAGGACTAAACCCTAAACAGGCATTGGGGGCCTTAGATACTCAATACTCAATTCTTTATTGCATCCATAAAATGTTACCACATAGCATAGAGGGACTTAGCTGAGATTAGATTAGATGGATTAGCTTTTTAGCTGATGTTTACAAATAGAAACCATAAAATCATTATAACCCTCAAAGCCATCAAAGGTTTCAGGTTTCAAAAACTTAACTTAGATATTTTCTTCATTCAAGCTGTAAAAAATTCTGCATAATTTTTTATTAGCATTCACTTACAAGACTTCGACTTTTAACCCATACACGGTTCACAAAAAATACACAATATTAAAACTAAGGCTATAACCCCGCTATAATGTATTCTACTACTCTTACCAATAATAAAAATGTATTTCTCTCACAACAGATCAGTAACATATTTAGGAAAAAACATTTCGGATAATATATCTATTTAACTATAGATCAGCATTGTGAGAGCTGGCTACTCTTACCATTGAATAAATATAGAAAAAATATGTTTTATAAATACCTTCTTGCAGTTCAGGCGTAAGCTCCTCCTCTTGCTCTGGAGGCAGTATACTCTCTAGAAAACTCTTTTGCTGTTCTTCCATTTTCTGTAAACAACAGCTTAATTTAATTTCAGATTCATTGGTAGCAATAAAAGTATTATAAAACTTATAAGCACATCTAGCTAGACAAAGAGAAGTACAACTCAAAATAATGATTTATACAGGAACAGCAAGTAGGTATTTTGGCGCAGACTCCAATAATCACACTAACTTAGTTTTGGATTATTTTCAGTTGTAATATTCCCTATCTAGGAGTACAATATTATGCTAATGTAATTAGCAATCTGAATCAGCTATTTATAAACATTCTAATGTGTTGAACTTGAAGAGTTTAACTTACATCTATTTCAGTAGTAGTTTCATCGGTTCCTTTGACATCGCGGAACCAACTGGGCTCTGTGTTCCTTAAGATGCTTTTCTTCAGGATGTTTAGTGTATACTCCATCTGATCAAGTTGGATATCTGAATAAAAGGAAATTTATATTTTAATTGGTATTCAAACTTAATGATATTAGGGTCATTCCATGACAAATGTTACCGAGGGTGAAAAACTAAATATGTTCTTTTCGCATTAAATCTGATGAATTTTGAAAGTACACTTTCCAAATTATAATGTGCAACAAAAAAAATCTGAAGGAAACATGTAGTTTTTAAGTTATTAGTCTTCAAAGTCTATACTCAAGTCAAGTGTCTGAATGATTATTTTCTCTCTAATTACTGGTAATACGATTTTAAAAAAACTATCAATCTGTGAACCGTTTTGCCACTATATGATTTGAGGGTATTTATCATAGTATTGGTAGATAGCGTCATAGTTCCAAAAAAATGGATAATTATCAAGTTTTAAGTGTGTTTTCTTGTTACTTCGGCGATGTAACACCCGAAACAGAAAAACAGGTATTTGTTTTATTGTTGTACCTTGCACATGGATTAGGGTAACAATATTTGGTAAAAGTAAGGTCATGGTAGTAATGATTTCAAATAGTAACTAATATCTGAGCATGATACTAATTAAGTATGTTTCTTTCTTGATTAAAAACTGTAACACCCGAAACGTTTCGGGTATTACATTTTTATTTATATGTCGATAATGTGTGTATATTGCTTGGAGAAGTGAAAAAGTATTACTGTGAGGGTCCTTTGACCTCCCACTAGCGCTGGCATCGGAAAAGGAGTCATATTTCTCAATTTAAGACTTTTTTGAAATGTCGACTTAACACTAAAATTAAGGTATTGCTAAAAAGTGTCGATGTTTGACATTTCCAATAAATATCGTAATTAGAAATTAAAGTAATGCTATTTCAAGCCAAAAACAATAGAAAAAGCTATATTCTGAGGAAAAATTAAACTTGAACTTTGTATATTTAAAAAAAAAAGCTGCTTCGTAATTTCAAACCAGAATTCGCTCTATTTGTGTTTATTTGTTGTACTCCTTATTTTGTAGTACCTAGAGACTAATAAAACACCGATTTTATCGATAAAACGAGTTGAATTTTCGTACTCGTAACACCCGAAACAGAACCATTGTAACACCCGAAACAAAGAAAAAAATTATAAAAAAATAGTAAAACGTTTTATTTAACAGTGATTGTATGTTACATGGTTTGTAAATGTCATACTTTAGAAGTCCTGTAAGTTTAAGGTATGCTTCCTTAAGAAAATTCGCTAAATTTCGAGTAAACGCAGCAACAGTCAGAACATAGAGGCAAAATCTCGTAACGCCCGAAACGCACACTTTTCGACTCATATTTTCGTTATCCTACATTCTAAGCTGTACAAACTTTATTATTAAGATAAAACAACTAAAAACGGACAGATTAAGGCACTAACATTATTAAAATACTATTTCAAAATACATGAAATTGTTGAATATGTGTGTACGAACGTAACACCCGAAACGATGGAATGACCCGATAAAAACTCCCTAATGCCAAAGGATGTTGTACTCATCAAAGTAGTTTGATAACTTTTTTGTACAGAGCAGGGTAAAAGGCAAACTTAATCCTATTTGGCATTAACTGTGTGACTTTTTGTCTCCAAAATAGTCTGGCACCAGGAATTTCTGGATTTTTTGAATTTTATGAATTGTTTTAAAGATTCACCAACCAGGTGTATGCTACTTTAGTAATACTGACTATAAGATCTAGTGATTTGGTCAGAGGGCAGGTTTACGTTTAGACTAAGGTAAAAAATACCATAATGTAATAGAAAAGGTAGTAGTAGTACTGGCTTTTTGTTTTACCTTTGTTTGGCTCCTCATCCTTCCCCTCTTGGGACTTTTTAATAGCATCGGCATACTCCTGAAGTGTCGAAATCTCTTTGTTGACAGCGTCGGTCAATTCTTTGATGTATTCCGAGTCCACTTTGGCCCCGGTGTCCAAGCTGTCTGAAGCATCTTCTTCTTCTGTTTCCTTCTTCGTTTCTGGACCAAGAAGCTCAGCAGCCGACAGAGTGACGCATAAACACAGCGCAAGAAGTTCTAGTCGCTTCATGTTGCTCAAAAACCCGACAAACAAGTAAAGATTACGTGTCCCTTACTTGATCAAATGCAACACGTCTTTTGTACGGATAAATATTTCGACGAAGTTTCAAATCATTTTAAACATATGCCAATAAATAACAAACACGTGTAGCAATTGCTAACAATTCACAAACCACATTTTTCAGCACAAATAGCCACTATTTTTCTCGAAAAATAATGATCGATCTCATTCAGTAATCTGACAGTTGATAACATAATGCTGCACCATATTCAAGAATCGAATCGATATCGATGTAGCTATAGAATACGAGTACAGACGGAAAATCTAATAATAAAATTTATAATTAATTTTATGTCATATTTGCTGACTTATGTTTTTAATAATGCATTCATTGTATTAATTTTGTTTTTTAGACAAATGTTTTAACATCGCAGTATGTATGTGTGTAATATTAAAAAAAAAATTACACATAGGTACATATTATACTGCTCCGAACTGTGTAATTGTGTACCCATGTTTTGCAAAACATTTATTTTTTTGTTTATTTTCTGTGACTCGGGGTCGAGAGTCCATGTTAGAGAGAACATGTTAATTTGTTTCATGGTGGTGGTGAGGGTGACGCTCTGCGGGCTAAACATTGTCTTCGGAAACATCATGTAATCATGCTCAGTGACATGTTCCGCAATATGTTGTTTCATTTGTGCCCTAATTAAATGTATCCATGGCTTACCTCATAGTATTGCTTGAATTTACATAATGTCGCACAAAACTATCGATACTAAAATAAAATATAAGATATATCGATACTAGATAACATCACTATTGGTATAGTCATCATGACGTGTACGATCCGTTGTACGCATTAATAAGACTACAACTACTAACTACAATAGGCAGTATAGTATAGAGTAAATATATTCTTTGGGCAGTATAGTTTCTGACCTTAGCGGGTTTCTGTACGAATGTAAAAATCCATTGTTTGACAGCTGTCACTCAAAGGTCGCAGAAAATTGCCAAAAAAATATTTTTGGTGAAAAAATACGTTTCGCAAAAGTTGTTAAGAAGGACATTATAACTTGTTTCAGTGAGTGAAAGTACAAATGAATAAGCTGTTGCCTGCAAGGAGGCGAAAGTTGCTACAGTTCTAGTTGGTGTACTTTGTAACCTAGCAAAATGTTACGAATACCGGTTCGAGGTAGAACAATCCATCAAAACATACGTCTGAAGTCCACGAACTCGAGTAACTTTATTAGAAGCACCTTCATAGAGTATTTCGTGGAGGGTCACGGTCACAAACATGTGAAATCGAGTCCCGTTGTGCCACTGTGCGATTCTACCGTTCCCTTTGTGAATGCTGGCATGAATCAGGTAAATATCGTGATCTGTGTAACCCTACCCTCTGACTAAAGCTTTCAATAAGAATCTATTTAAAATACTAGATTTTGCCCGTGGGTTCGCCGGCGTAAAATTCAGTTTATCAGATGGTTATTCTGATGTATTAAACAATAATACTGTAAAATTTTATCGAAATAGTAGTTTTTGCGTAAAAGAGTAACAAACATCCATTTTCACAAACTTCAACATTGATAATATTAGTAGCATAAAACTGACACTAAAAGCTAGAAAACTTTAAATTGAGCAAATCTCAATGAGCAATTCAAACGTTTCCAGTTCAAAGGAGTGTTCCTCGGGCAAGTGGAGCCGCCGTGCGCGCGCGCCGTGAACTCGCAAAAGTGCGTGCGCGTGGGCGGCAAGCACAACGACCTGGACGCGGTGGGGACGGACGGACACCACCACACCTTCTTCGAGATGCTCGGCAACTGGTCCTTTGGGGACTATTACAAGGTAAAGCTTTAGGGCTATATTTCACCGGGACACCATGGCGGCGCAACCAGTCGCCGGCTACCAACAAAATGTATGCAGCTTTGCGCAACCAAACGGACACCAGGTGAGTAACTCTTTATAGAGCTGTATACATTTTGTTGGTAGCCGGCGACTGGTTGCGCCGCCATGGTGTCCCAGTGAAATATAGCCCTTACAGTCAACCTAAGCCAAGTATAGTATACTAAAATGTAAAACATATCAATAGTGGTCATAACACCACCCCATGAACTACCAAAAATAGAAATGCATGTTGACTAACTTACGAGGTATAGCTGTGTTTCTTTAAAATATTTTTCAGAAAGTAGTGCATTTCGTTTAGGAAAGACTAGTCCCGAAGTAAGATAATTCATATTGATATTTTTAAAGACTATGTGCTTATCAATCCAACAATAATATCATGTGATCATAATAATATTTTAGAAACTGCCAAAATGTGCAAACTGAGTGAGATAAAACTTAATATGTAATTCTTCTAATGATTTGCAGAAAGAAGCATGTCAAATGGCCTGGGACCTACTGCTTGGTCCGTACCGGTTGAAACCAGAAAACCTTGTGGTGACGTACTTTGCTGGAGATGTAGTCATTGGCCTACCAGAGGATAGAGAGTGCCGTGACATTTGGAGAGCTATTGGGTGAGAAACCATTTATTTTTCTATTAACATCTGAAAATCTTTAACATATTAAACAGTTGACATCGTAAAGGTAGCAGGGAAGCGCTGGACGCAGGCTGCTACCAATCGATCAACGTGGAAAGCATTAGGGGAGGCCAATGTTCAGCAGTGGACGTCCTATGGCTGAAATGATGATAATAATTAAACAGTTGAAATGCATTTTATTCTCTTACAAGTTGTCAATCGCCCATATTCACAAACATTACCATGAGGTCTGACAGTGCGCGTGGATGCACAGGGTGACACACGAACCAATCACAGAGCTCTATTCAACGCTGTGCGTTCGATTTGCTGCTTCACTTAAGCAATCATTGTTTGTGAATACAGGCGAATGTTTTGTAGGCCATTCCACAAGCTAAAGTTGATTGTGTTTTGCTTACAAACAAACTGAGATAGTGTAAACTGTTTATGTAAACTGTGTAAAGTCAACAACACACACACACACTTTACATTTTTGTTGCAATAATCACACTTATTATAACTGACTATGATATGCCACAGTTCAGTCATTTTGTATGGACTATGTCGCATTATGGCGGCGCTGCAATGAGTGTCGCTGTTTTCGCAACACAGTTCTTATAAGATAATATTTCCACGCGCAGTGCAGGTGCCGCATAGCGCCGCGCAAATGCGATCCGACCTTTAGCCATCATCATTCATCATAAATACTACAATCTCTGTTTCATGATTAAACAATACTGATTCTAAGGCCAGAGTTCACCAGCAGACAGTAAACACCTGTCAACTATTATCTTTAAATATTTTGCTTTTCAAAATACATGACAACTGTTTACTATGCAAAGTGGATTTTTGTTTGAGTTTGAAAACTGCCTATGTGTTTTTCAGATATATTTTTTAGAATATTATTGTAAAGAGTACAAAATTCAGCCACTACTTTTTGCTTGTGTTATGGGGTTTGCCATAATAATCGGAATAGCGTTCCGCGAATCTCGAATCGTAGGATACTGACACGGTCGAGCTAATGCCGTCGCTATTATATTGGTCCCTCGTGCATCCTATTTATTTATCTTTGCCATGTCGTTTTTAGTCAAATAATAAGAACTAGTTTTTCTGGAAGTACCCTCAGTTTATATTCCTTATTACCAGCGTGCCAGACAGTCGCCTCAAGGCTTTGGACGCCAAAGACAACTTTTGGGAGATGAGCGCTACCGGGCCGTGCGGGCCCTGCACTGAGATACACCACGTCAACCCGGACGGCTCGTTGACTGAGATATGGAACCTGGTCTTCATACAGTGCAACAGGTAATTGGGTACTTGATACAACTAACTAACCTCATAAAAAGTATGTCAATGAGGGCTATCGTTTTTATACTTAACAGTTTGCACCCCTGGCGATTGACAGGACCTTACTCTACAGTGGCGCCATCTTGATGAGTGCAAATACGATAGTCCTCCTACCACTTTAGCGCTCACAAGTTGGCGCCACTGTCTTCGCTACTAGCAAGTGACAGGACCTTACTCTACAGTGGCGCTAACTGGTGAACGCTAAAACGATAGCCCTCATTGACTAGGAAATCCAGTTCTACTACCCTAATAGGGATTTTCACAGCATTTTCAATTTAATGTATTTCATTAACGGCTGATGCCTAAAAACATTTAACTGAGTTGTAGGACGTGTAACGTGTTTAAGTAATCTGAAATGAATTCTTGTTTTTAGCAGCGTCTCTTTGATAAATGAAATCAGCTCTATGGTTCAAGTTACGTGACTGCTTACTCCATAGACATAGTAACTCTGGGGCGATGACGCCGCTGCGGCGCCATAAGTCCCTCGTGACTTTTTTTCGGTTTTTGTATAGCATTTTTTGTTTCATAGCCCAAAAATGGAATTCCAAAGTAATAAAGATTTCGATTTTGTAGAGAAGAAAACGGCTCGGTGACGCCGCTGCGGCGCCAACACGTGGACACAGGGCTGGGATTGGAGCGGCTGGCGGCGCTACTGCAAGGCGCCCGCTCCAACTACGACACTGACCTGTTCCGCCCGCTCATCGCCGCCGTGCAGCAGGTGCGTGTGTGCTCAAGCCGCTCAGAGCGGACGGCTGGTGACGCCGCTAGGGTGTCAAGAGAGAGAAAGTGTTTTATATCGACATAAAAAAACAAGATTTGCAAGTCTGAAAACTACTTTCTTGTCACAAAACTCTTTGTGCTAGTTCTACACTAAAGTCCGGTCGCCGAGCACGTAGAATTTCGTCTAGTGACCCCAAGCTACCTATCCTTATCGCTCGCGCGTAATTATATTGCTGTCGCGACTGTGCGACGGGCGGTAGCAGTGAGTGTGCGAGTGCGACAGCAATATAATTACGCGCGAGCGATAAGGATGGGTAGCTTGGGGTCATTGGACAAAATTCTACCTCTAATTCTAATTCTAGTCCTCGGCGACCGGACTATACAGGCTGTTAGGTAAATGGGTATATGAGCCGACACTAGCTCATGTTAACATGGGCATATAAATGGTATGGTGAAGTCAGAAAATTGATATCTTCATTTTAATTATTTTAATTTTCATATAAATCGGATTTTATAAAATTTCTAGTGTCGGCTCATATACCCATTTACCTAACACCCTGTAGATACAGAACACAGCAGTAATACGTCCTGTTTCCCCAGCACAGCAAAGGCGTGGCCCCGTACGCCGGGTCGTTCGGCGCGGGCGCGGCGCTCGACGCCGCCTGCCGCCGCCTGGCCGCTTACTTAGTTTAAATCTAAGTTTGCAAACCCGAAAACAGGCGAACTTTAAGAAGTTATATAAAATCTTCTTGTGGGGTGCGGGCGACATGTCTAAGGCTGTGATCTCCTATAAACGCCGTAGGCCGCATACAGCGTTACGCCGTAAGCCGCGTCACATTTCTTACTATAGAAATGCACTGTGGTGGTATCTTATTGACGTTATAGTGTTTAATAGGAGATCACAGTCTAACAAATTGTGTTCACGCTTTGACCGACACATTGTAAAGAACTCTGTACTCTAAATATTAGAACATCACAGTAATACGTCCTGTTTCCCCAGCACAGTAAAGGCTCGACGCCGCCTACCGCCGCCAGGCCGACCGAATAGTTTATATCTAAGTTTGCAACCCACTTATTCTTCTCTAATAGCTTCGTATGGCGTGCAGGCGACTAAGTTCACACTCTTATCTTTGTGCTAATGCTACACTAGATGCAGAGCATCGCAGTAATACCAGGCCTGTTCATCTCCGCGAGTTTACATCGAAAACAAAACACGCACGATGACCTACCTACAGGATACTATTCGACAAGGCCTCACATACGAGCGAACATTGACTCACGCACCGCGTATTCTTGTGTATGATGGAAGAAAATAAAGAAAATGGTGTACTAAATACTGTGCAGTATTTAACTGCCTAAATAATAATAAAAACACAGATTGTACTTTTTTAAGTTGCCTCAAGACACTGAGAGGTAAATAAGTATTTAACATTATTCATGATAATTCATGCTAAATCATGTATTTCCTCCGCCATTTTCCGCAGTTTGGCACCTCACGTCACATCATTTTACCGAAGTCAGCCCTATAGCTTCGGCGCAGTGCCGATCACTGACGTTTGTCAACAAAATGGTGCTCGACTCTTGAGACAGGCTACATTACACCATATTGTTAATGACATTGAGCATACATTTTTTTAAATACCTTCGCGAAGTAAAACTTCTGTACGTAGTACTTATTATTATTCTGTGGTAATACGTCCTGTTTCCCCAGCACAGCAAAGGCGTGGCGCCGTACGCTGGGTCGTTCGGCGCGGGCGCGGATCTCGACGCCGCCTACCGCCGCCTGGCCGACCATGCCAGGATGATCAGCGTGTGCCTGGCTGACGGAGTGTTCCCGGCTTCTAGGTAATTTGATGTTCTACGTATAATAGCCCAATGGTGTTGGTTTGGTGGGCTAGCCAATTTAAGATCTCAAGAACGCGGGTTCGAAATTTCGAACCTCGCCGCCGCTAGACTAATCCACTCGTAACACAAGATAATTTACTTACCACTAAAGGTTACAAAATCAAATCAAAACACTTTTTCTACAAAGTAAATATGATAAAAGAGCAGTAACTATGATGCGCCTCAAATGGCATACGAAATGAATAAGTAAATTATGTAAGATTTTCAACTTTCGCTTAAAATTGAAAGCCAAAGGACCCAAATAAATTAGCGATCGACGCGGATCGAACTAGCGGTTTTCGAATTGGATTGGCAGTCCGATACTGACACCGTTGGACTATTGTCTTCTTATTTCCTGAAGTTAATGTAACCTTTATCAACCCATTAAATATTGTACCCGCTATTTCAAGTTCAAATTGACTGATTAAAATATCTCAATTTCATTGTTCCAGTCTAAACCTCAAGCAAATAATGCGCAAATCCTTCAAAATGTCCTCCGACATCTTCCAAAACCCTCACTTACTATCCTTACTCTACCAAGAAGTGGCCAACACGCTCGGCGAAACCTACCCAGAACTGATAGCAAAGAGCAAAGAAGCCAAATTGATCATAGAGCATGAGGAGCAGGCGTATGCTAAGATGAGGGCAGGGCTGGCGAAGAAATGGAAGGATCTGGCTAAGAGGTACCCTGAGGTTGAGGAGCTGGGAGACGTGGAGATGGCCAGCTTTGCCACGGGGTATAATGAGTTTAAAGAGGTTAGTATAGTTTGGTATTGACTATTACATCACACTGCAAGGTATTGGTTTCATCTCAATGGTGGATAGTTTTAGGAATACCCCACCATTAAGGAAGGGCCTTTTTCTTTTTGTACCAATTTAACAAATGGGCAAACGATATTCACATTCTAAAATTTAATGTTGCATTTTTACTATACATTATCACTAACGGGATTTGGCAACAAAATACTTTAAAGGTAAAAAGGTATTTATTTACCCCTCCGACGTTTCGACTCGGTTGCACGAGTCATGGTCGCGGGCAGACTGAAGAGATGCGGCGTCGTCTGTTCGAGCGCGATGAATTATTTATTGCCAAATCCCGTTATAGTGATAATTTATGATATTCACATTCCTTCTTTCCTTTTAGGGAATGGCCAAACAAAAATCAACCACAATACCTGGAGACCTAGTCTTCAAGTTGTACGACACTTACGGTTTCCAAGAGGACATGATTGAGAGAATAGCAACACTAAATCATTTGGGCATCGACAAGAAAGGCTTCTGGAAGCTTCTCTCAGAGCACAAATCACGACACAAAACCGCTATGAAAGAACAATCGTCTAACAGGGCACTTCTCTTCGACAGTGCAGTGGAAAAAATAATTAAAAGTGGAGTCAAATCGACGAACGATCAGCACAAATATGATTATACACCTGTAGGAAACAAAATACAATTCAAATCGCTCAAAACTAAACTTGTAGCTATACTAAATGAAGATTGTGAGTGGATAGACTTTTTAGACCCGTGCGAAGATAGGCCTTATTATCTAGTAGCAGAAGATTCAAATTTCTACTGCGAGGAGGGAGGGCAAACGGCTGATAGCGGTACCATAAAAGTAAATAATAATGTGACTTTCAAAGTAGATACTGTTTTCAAAATTCGGGACTTCGTATTCCATAAGGGTTACTTCAAAGTGAACAAAGGAAGTGATAAAAATTATGTGAACTATAACAGTGAAGTGGTGTTAGAAATAGATGAGTGTAAAAGAGTGAATGTGATGAGGAACCATACTGGTGTTCATTTGTTGAATGCGGCCATCAGACAGGTCCTTCCGAAGAGCGTGGTGTGTCCTACGGGATCTAAGGTCACTGATAAAGGGCTGTCTTTAAATCTGTCGGTCTACGGCGAAAAATTGTCGCAGAAGGTGGTCTTGGACGCACAAGAATTAATTAGGTGAGTGAATACTGTTCCTGAGACTCACAGGTTGATTTATAGTTGGAAATAATTTTTGCTGCTTCAGAATGGTTCTGAATATATGTGGCTTACGTTTAACTCCATTCACCATCCACAGAGTTATGTTCATGCAGTTTCAGCTTGATTTAGATAATATGTTAATTGTAATAAGTTTATTTTCATGACGAATGTTACAGTCAGCGTCTAATAGTTTGTAACACCCAAAGTGACCAAAAAGTTAACAACACAACCTTATTCCATTGTAAAAAGGTGTATTGCGAACTTTTTGACGCTGACTGTGCAATGTATTTTCACTTTTTTTTTAATTCTACCATTTAACTTTAAGGGAAACAATAAAATGCAATACGCCGGTCTCTACTAGCGTGGTGGACAGTTTAGCGGTATCCAGGGAAGGGGACGTGGTCACTATCCCGGGGGAAACTTATCCCGAAATGGGGCTGAGGATGGTCGCGGTTGCCCCGCCTCCTTTGCTGTCCAAGTAAGTTATTTACTATATTATTACTATGTACGCTAGTAAATCAAGTGGCAGTGGGCGGGGCACATAGCTCGTAGAGACGATGGCCGTTGGGGCAGACAAGTTCTCGAGTGGCGACCACGGGCTGGAAGACGTAGCGTGGGCAGGCCTCCTACTAGGTGGACCGACGATCTGGTAAAGGTCGCGGGAAGAGCCTGGTTGCGGGCAGCGCAGGACCGTGCATTGTGGAAAACCTTGGAGGAGGCCTTTGTCCAGCAGTGGACGTCATTTGGCTGAAACGAACGAACGCTAGTAGAGACGCGTGGTGGACAGCCTTGCGGTATCGAGGGAGGGTGACGTGGTCACCATCCCGGGGGAAACTTATCCCGAAGTGGGACTGAGGATGGTCGCGGTGGCCCCGCCTCCTTTGCTCTCAAAGTAAGTTATTTCCATAATCATCCAATAAAATGCAACCCGTTAGGGCGTGTATTGACAAAGCTGTTTCTATCCGTTTCGCTGTCGGGCCGGTGCCGAAATAACCGGCACCGCAAAAATAACTTGCGAATTTCCAATGCTGTTCTCTTCTCCGGTATTATTTCGTCCAACGGTCCAAACATGAACGTGAAGGCATGGTCCTTCATCATCATCATTTCAGCCACAGGACGTCCACTGCTGAACATAGACCTCCCCAAATGCCTTCCACATCGTTCAGTTGGTAGCGGCCTGCATCCAGCGCCTTCCTGCTACCTTTATGAGTCGGTCCACCTTGGTGGTCGACGACTTTCACTCCAGAACCTTGCTGCCCCATCGGCCGTCAGTTCTGCGTATCGTGCCCTGTCCATTCAAAGGCAATTTGCCACTTCAGCATACTAATACGTCAGGCTATGTCAGCGACTTGTAACATGCCTTAACTAATGTCATTTCTGTCCCTCAGAGAGTTGTGTTGCGGCACCCACGTCCCCTCCACGGGTTTTGTTGAAGACTTCTGCGTGACGCTGGTCAAAGGCGCGGGCGGACACACGCCTATAATACACGCACTCACTGGCGACCGCGCGAAGGAGGTGAGCGAAATTGAACTTTATTGTAAAGATATACGTCTGAAAATAGCAGTTTGCCTATGATCAAGCGAAGGAGGTGAGCGATATTGAACTGTAACGTAAAGTTATAAAGCTCTAATTACTCCACGGCGTTCGTTAAGACTTCTGCGTGACACTGGTCAAAGGCGCGGGAGGACACACGCCTATAATACACGCGCTCACTGGCGACCGGGCGAAAGAGGTAAGGGAAGGGATATTGAACTTTATTGTAATGCTATAAGCAGGCCTGTTCTTCTGTCCGAGTATCCACAAGGGATTCACGAGCGAGTAGTGAGTAACGTACGCGCACGTATTCTTCACCCATTGTAAAAAAATATATTCGCTACCTATGGAAAGAAGAAAAAATACGCGTGTGGTGCGCTAGATGGCAACACTTTACCTTCTCGTAGCAGTCAGCCCTATCGCATCGGCACGGTACCGATCACTGACGTATGTAAACGAAACGGTGCTCGACTCTTGAGAAAAGTCAAATTACACCATTTTGTCAACGACAAAGGATTGAATTACAGGCAGTTTGTCTTATACTAGCTCTTATTTGTGTCTGTGTTTTTTTCCAGGCCAGAGAAATCTTCTGCCACGCACAGAAGTTAGAAGAAGTGATAGAACTGGTAGACCCAGACAGACGGAAGGAGGAAATGACCAACATTAGGAAACGACTGTCTGATCTGTGCGGTACTGGTGGCGCCCCCTACGGAGAATATGCGCAATGTTTGGGGCTGTTGGAAAACTTGCAGAAGAGGGAAGTCAACACGAATGATATGGCGTTACAGTAAGTAATCTTGATTTTGCTAAAGTCCGTGCGTAATTATATTACTGCCTCGTTCGCACACTCACTGCGGCCGCCCGTCGCAAAGTCGCGACAGCAATATAATTATGCGCGAGCGATAAGGAGGGTAGCTTGGGGTCATTGAACGAAATTCTACGTGCTCGGCGACCGGACTTTATCTCCTTTGGTCGTCTGGGTTTTGAAACAGAAGAGTTGCACAATGCTATACATGTCTATAAAATTAAAAATTGTTATTGAAATTTATCTAAAAAGCTCTCAAAACTTTACATTTGTTTGCTGAAGTGTTTTTTTTTCCTTTCTTTTAAACTGGTGTGCTGTAGAATGTTCATAGAAGTCTATAAACCAATTTATTCTTTTATTTTCAGAGCCGTAGCCGAGGCGGAGTTCCGCGAGGCGTTTGATTCGGCGCAGGCAGAGGGCCGCCAGTTTGTGGTGCACTTCCTACGGTGCTCCTACCTCATGCAAGGGACAGGACTCTCAAGGGCGTTACACGCCACCCCTGCCTCGTCCCCTGCGTTGCTGTTAGGATGTGCTGGTGGAGTTATAGTAGCAGCCTGTCGTATGCCACAGGTCAGTACTCTTCCAGAAACTTCTAGCCTTTAGGGACTGGCAATTTCACACCAGCACACTGCTATTGGGCTATGCTGGGGGCGTTATAGTCGCTGTCTGCCGTATGCAGGTTAAACCTATTCCCACCATAGGAAGTCAGATTTAAACCTCCTAGCCTTTAGAACCAGCTACTCTTCATACCAGCTGTTGGGCCAGCGCTGCTATTATTAGGTTGCGCCGCTGGCGTCATTATGACTACCTATCACTCTCATGCCACAGGTCAGTCCTTGTAGCCATTAGAACCAGCAGCTTTTGGTGTAATTCTCCATACTTCCAGAGTGCCAATATTCTTTCTAGCTTTCCTGACTAGCAAGCAACTCCTCATTTCTTCCTTCGTGGTGCATTTCCTGCGCTGCTCCTACCTCATGCAGGGGACAGGGCTGTCACGAGCGTTGCACGCCACCCCTGCCTCGTCCCCTGCGTTGCTGTTAGGATGTGCTGGTGGAGTTATAGTAGCCGCCTGTCGTATGCCACAGGTTAGTGCTATTTCCAGCATCCAGATAACCTTCTAGCATTTAGGATCAGCATCTACTGTTGCTGCTACGTGATTGTAGCCGATTATCTTATGCCAAAGGTCAGTACTGCCAGATATACCTTTAGGAACAGCAACTCGAGCGTCGTCCTCTTTTCTTTTAGAATGCCAACTTTGTAGCTTTCCTCACTAGCAAGCAATTCCTTACCTCTTTCTTTCCTTCTACCCTCTTTTCGTCGTCCATTTCCTGCGCTGCTCCTACCTCATGCAGGGGACAGGACTCTCAAGGGCGTTGCACGCCACCCCTGCCTCGTTCCCTGCGTTGCTGTTAGGATGTGCTGGAGGAGTTATAGTAGCCGCCTGTCGTATGCCACAGGTTAGTACTCTTCCAGAACCTTCTAGCCTTTAGGGACTGGCAATTTCACACCAGCTGTTGGCCCACACTGCTATTGGGCTATGCTGGGGGCGTTATAGTCGCTGCCTGCCATATGCAGGTTAGACCTATTCCCACCATAGGAATTCAGATTTAAACCTCCTTTAGAACCAGCTACTCTTCATACCAGCTGTTGGGCCAGCGTTGCTATTAGGTTGTGCTGTTGGCGTCATTATGGCTACCTATCACTCTCATGCCACAGGTTAGTCCTTGTAGCCATTAGAACCAGCAGCTTTTGGTGTAATTCTCCATACTTCCAGAATGCCAACATTCTTTCTAGCTTTCCTGACTAGCAAGCAACTCCTCATTTCTTCCTTCGTGGTGCACTTCCTGCGTTGCCCCTGCCTTACCTCTATCGACATCAGATAAATCTTCTAGCCTCTGACTAAATACTTTTTGTCTCTTTCTTTCTATCCTCCTTCGTCGTCCATTCGCTACGAAACACTGACTTGTTACTGATATGTGCACACCTGCCTTTCAGGACAAAGTGACAGACACCTTCAACGCGGAGCGCTGGTTGCGCTGCATCCTGCCGGTGTTCCACGCGGACGTCAAACCCGGATCCACGCCGCTTACGTACGCCGAGATGACGGCCACTAAGGTACGGTTTGGAACCTACAAAAATATTTGTAATAGAAATTGACAACACCATGACTTGTAGAAACGTGGGTGTATAAATTGTTTAACAAAGAAAACCTATGATGTCACTTTTTGATGCAGGACTGCTACTTATTGATTTCAAAGCAGCTAAAATCTTGTTTCCTGTTACATTCGCAATCCTGCAGTGCTTGACTTCTCATCTAAACACACTGTTATGTGGGCTAAATTAACTTCCCTTACTTCCTACCGCACATTTGGTGCAACAAGGGCACAAATAATTACTGTAATAATTTTCCCTCTGTATGAGCAGATGTGCTTTTGTTGCTCTAAACATGCTTTATATTATTTGCAACAAAATGAAAGGTTTTTACTCTTCCCAGGTGAGCCTAATCAACTGCGAGCAGCTAGTTCAAGACGCCATGCGTGTCGCCATCAAATATGCGCAAGCGCAGCTCAGGCCCTCAAGTTACACAGGCCACACCCAAACACGTCAGCACAACTGAACTAGAGATTATGCCGTCCAGGACGATACATACTGAGATACAGGCAAAGAGCTTCCTCGTTGTGGAAATAAATAAATACTAATATTATTACTAAGTATAGGTCGCGCAACGAAAATTGAGGCGGACGCGGTACTGACATTGACGTTATATTTTAATGTATCGAAACGAATACACTTGATTTGATACCTCGCTCTTCCTAAAGCGAGACAGAAAGCGCTTCTCAGTCACCCGTTGTCTTAGATGAGCGACAGAACGCGACTTGACACGAGACGCAACGCGACGTAAGCGTAATTCGACCAATATTTCACGTGACGTATGACAGATGTCTTGACATGAGACTACATTGTTACTAACAAAAAAAAAACTGAATGGAATAAATAAATTATCACCGGGCAATTTTCAAATTTCACTGTCCACCGTGTCTCGTTAAACACTCGACATTGGTGAAACCAGTGTGCAAGCCATTAAACAGAATAATAATAATACATAAGTCACTATTTTATACAACGACATCGTCGCATTGCCGCGTTTGTCGTTCACTTAGGACAACGGATAAGATTACGCAAGACGACAGAGCAGCTAGCGTCTACTGAAACATAAACACAAACAAATATTTCTTTGTGTTGATCGCCTCAACTCTCGCTGAGCGACCTATAACTCTGTCTCAAGCGTATCGTGAGAGGGGAGGCAAGTTAAGGCAACTGAACTTGTAAAATATTTAATTGGCAACCACCTATTATATCAGTAAACTTATTTTAGTTATGTTAAAACCCCTAAAATATAGAAATTCTGTTTTATTTATTTGAACTAGTCGTAGTAAGTTTTGTTCAATGAAGTATTATGTTTTGGGACATTTTTAAAAACAAACGGCTTACTTTTCGGTCTGGAAAGTGCAGTATTTTTCATTATTTTGTAATTATTGAATTAAAATGTCGAAATGTTGAGTCTTGAGCTTTTGAGCATAAAATGTTATGAATTATTAAACAGTCTTCCGATATGTTATTGTAAACACGATTATCAAAATTTAATGAGAATACATTTGATCATTTTTATTCAGACTTTTATTGTAAAAATATAATTCTGTATAATATTCCCTCAGGCTTCTTATTATCGTAGTTCACTATGTAATATAAGGTCCAAGAGAAATTTTCTTCTAAAAATATTAATATTGTTTTCATAGAAAACCCGTTGAAATGAAAGAATCATGAGTATTTTGTAGAAAACATTTATTCAAATTCCTAATAACATTATCTTAGTAAATATTTACAGTGTCTTTGAGATGCGGTACCTCTATCAAGGTACAAATTAATTTCTTATGAGCTAACTACAAGTAAATATTACTGGAAAAACAATTCTATGATGATTTATATTTGCTGCTTAGTTAATATAAAAAATACTATGTATTTTAGCAAGAAATATAAATAACAATAGTGTTATCCTGTAAAATTTCCTTTATTTAAGTCTTATAGCGTTTACAATGTGCGGTGCGCGCGAGTTTATAAACACGCGCCGACCGCCATCTTAGTTAAACTTCACGTGTGACACCGGCCGCCATCGTAATAAAAGTCGCTCATGGCCATAAAGTTAATATTCCTTCGGAATAAAGCAACAACTACGAGCTGTCAAATTAAAAATATTTTGGATGACACTGGATATCATTTGTGTGTCAGTGTCAGGATTATTTCACTGTTTTGTACAATAAATCAATCACTGACCCAGTCACCTCGTTTTTTAAAGCACTATTTCTCGTAAACCTCCACGATTTTACTCACGTAGTATCTGAAAATATCTCAAGAGCTCAAATTTTCAGCGTGCCAATAAGTGCCTCCGAACTGTCAAATAGTTTAAAAAAAAACGGTTCTGTTTGACGTTACAGCGACGACATCATGCATCTCTTTTTATCACACAGTGTTGCTGCTCTAGTCTGGTCGCCGAACACGTAGAATTTCGTCCAAAGACCCCAAGTTACCCATCCCTATCGCTCGCGCGTAATTATATTGCTGTCGCGACTGTGCGACGGGCGCCCGCAGCGAGTGTGCGAGCGCGACAGCAACATAATTACGCGCGAGCGATAAGGGCGGGTAGCTTGGGGTCATTGGACAAAATTCTACGTGCTCGGTTACCGGGCTTTAGTTTCAGTTATCTGTTGGTCTATTCTGCTAGGTATATTAACTTTATGTTCGAGGCACCGGCAGCCATGTTAAAACGTCGCGCGTGGCAATGTGAACAGAGTGTCACGCGCCGCCGGCGGCTAGTGGTTGTCCATGTACTGCAGGTCGGACAGCAGCAGGATGGTGTTGGGCAGCGGGCGCGGCTGCGGCGACAGCACCGTCAGCGTCTGCCGCTCCGTGTCTACTGCCGTGCTGTGGAGAAAATGTCTTGTTAGGGATGTGGATAGGGTTGCCAGGTCCAAAAGCACAAAAGCCGGTCTCTGTGCTTCATTCAGCAATTAGTGTCATAGCACACGAGTGCGCTTCATATTATTCTGTGGCTCGACTTTTGCCTAACGCCTAACAAAAGCCGGACAACCCTAGATGTGGAATTAAAACACGCAGTAGTGAAGGCGAGGGTCAACAAAAAGATATACAGGGTGTGCTTTTGTAAAACATCGCCCATCGCAGGAGAGGACACTGATGCCAAAAAAATATTTAAAAAAAAATTCATGGAAAATCGTGACTTATGTTCACATTCGAGTGTACTCACACGCACACGAAGCCAGCCAAGTTAGTGTGGAGCACGTCATCAGGTGCAGCCGCGAAGGATACGGCCAGAACGCGGTGCGCGAGCGCAACTTTGTGACTTATATCCATGCAATTAGGTTCAAACTCTAATGCAGCGAGTATAGTCACACGCATACGAAGCCAGCTAGATTAGTGCCACGCCCACTATCTTCGTGACTTATGTCGACGCAATACGGTTCATATTCCAGTGTACTCATACGCACACGAAGCCAGCCAGGTTGGTATGTAATACGTCATCATCAGGCGCGAGCGCAGCCCCCGCGGCCATATCCACCGGATTTGTAGCTTATGGCGATGCAATAAGGTTCAAACTCCAATGCAGCTAGTATACTCAGTACTTACACGCACACGAAGCCAGCTAGATTAGTATGTAACACGTCATCATCAGGTGCAGCCGCGAAGGATACGGCTAGCACGCGGTGCGCGAGCGCAGATTTGTGACTTATGGCGCTGCAATAAGGTTCAAACTTCAATGCAGATAGTATACTCAGTACTCACACGCAGACGAAGCCAGCTAGGTTAGTATGTAGCACGTCGTCATCAGGCGCAGCCGCGAAGGACACGGCGAGCTCGCGGTGAGCAAGCGCAGCTCCCGCGGGCACGCCCACGAGCTTGGTGACTTATGTCGATGCAATACGGTCCAAATTACAATGTCAAGTATACTCACACGCACACGAAGCCAGCCAAGTTAGTATGTAGCACGTCGTCATCAGGTGCAGTCGCGAAGGACACGGCCAGCACGCGGTGCGCGAGCGCAACTTTGCGACCTATGTCGAGGCAATAAGGTTCAAGTTCCAGTGTACTCACACACACACGAAGCCGGCCAGGTTGGTATGTAATACGTCATCATCAGGCGCAGCCGCGAAGGACACAGCTAGCACGCGATGCGCGAGCGCAGCTTTGTGACTTATGTCGACGCAATAAAGTTCAAACTCCAATGCAGCTAAAGCCTGGTCCGTGAGCACGTAGAATTTTGTCCAATGACCCCAAGCTACCCATTCTGATCGCTCGCGCGTATTTATATTACTGTCGCGACTGTGCGACGTGCGCCCGCAGTGAGTGTGCGAGCGCGATAGCAACATAATTACGCGCGAGCGATAAGGGTGGGTAGCTTGGTGTCATTGGACAAAATTCTACGTGCTCACTAGGACCAGGCTCTAGTATACTCAGTACTCACACGCACACGAAGCCGGCCAAGTTAGTATGTAACACGTCATCATCAGGCGCAGCCGCGAAGGACACGGCGAGCACGCGGTGCGCGAGCGCGGCTCCCGCGGGCACGCCCACGAGCTTTGTGACTAATGTCGATGCAATACAGTCCAAATTACAATGCAAAGTAAGTAGGTATACTCACACACACACAAAGCGGGCCAGGTTAGTGTGTAACACGTCATCATCAGGCGCAGCCGCGAAGGACACGGCGAGCACGCGATGCGCGAGCGCAACTTTGTGACTTATATCCATGCAATAATGTTCAAGTTCCAGTTGGTATTGGAACTTGAACTTTATTGCGTCGACATANGTACTCATACGCACACGAAACCAGCCAGGTTGGTATGTCATCATCGGGCGCAGCGCCGGCGGCCACGCCCACTATCTTATATCGACGCAATAAGGTTCACATTCCAATGTACTCACACGCACACGAAGCCGGCTAAGTTAGTATGTAGCACGTCGTCATCGGGTGCAGCCGAGAAGGACACGGCCAGCACGCGGTGAGCAAGCGCAGCTCCCGCGGGCACGCCCACGAGCTTAGTGACTAATGTCGATGCAATACGGTTCAAATTCCAGTATACTCACAGGCACACGAAGCCAGCCAGGTTAGTGTGCAGCACGTCATCATTAGGCGCGAGCGCAGCCCCCGCGGCCATATCCACCGGATTTGTAGCTTATGGCGATGCAATAATGTTCAAACTCCAATGCAGCTAGTATACTCAGTACTCACACGCACACGAAGCCAGCCAGGTTAGTGTGTAACACGTCATCATCAGGCGCAGCCGCGAAGGACACGGCGAGCACGCGTTGCGCGAGCGCGGCTTTATGACTTATGTCGATGCTATACGGTCCAAACTCCAATGCAGCAAGTATACTTAGACTTATGTCGACGCAATACGGTTCACATTCCAGTGTACTCACACGCACACGAAGCCAGCTAGATTAGTGTGTAGCACGTCATCATCAGGTGCAGCCGCGAAGGACACGGCGAGCACGCGGTGCGCGAACGCAGCTTTGTGACTTAAGTTGACGCAATAAAGTTCAAACTCCAATGCAGCTAAAGCCTGGTTCGTGAGCACGTAGAATTTTGTTCAATGACCCCAAGCTACCCATCCTTATCGCTCGCGCGTAATTATATTGCTGTCGCGATTGTGCGACGCGCGCCCGCAGTGAGTGTGCGAGCACGACAGCAACATAATTACGCGCAAGCGATAAGGATGGGTAGCTTGGTGTCATTGGACACAATTCTACGTGCTCACGGACCAGGCTCTAGTATACTCAGTACTCACACACACACGAAGCCAGCCAGGTTAGTGTGTAGCACGTCATCATCAGGTGCAGCCGCGAAGGACACGGCGAGCACGCGGTGAGCAAGCGCGGCTCCCGCGGGCACGCCCACGAGCTTGGTGACTTATATCGACGCAACACGGTTCATATTCCAGTGTACTCACACGCAGACGAAGCCGGCTAAGTTAGTATGTAACACGTCATCATCAGGCGCAGCCGCGAAGGACACGGCGAGCACGCGGTGAGCAAGCGCGGCGCCCGCGGGCACGCCCACGAGCTTGGTGACTTATGTCGACGCAATACGGTTCACATTCCAGTGTACTCACACGCACACGAAGCCGGCTAAGTTAGTATGTAACACGTCATCATCAGGTGCAGCCGCGAAGGATACGGCCAGCACGCGATGCGCGAAGCTCGCGAGCGCACCTTTGCGACTTATGTCGACGCAATAAAGTTCAAGTTCCAATACCAATTACAAAGTATACTCACACGCACACGAAGCCAGCTAAGTTAGTGTGTAACACGTCATCATCAGGTGCAGCGGCGAAGGATACGGCCAGCACGCGGTGAGCAAGCGCGGCGCCCGCGGGCACGCCCACGAGCTTGGTGACTTATGTCGACGCAATACGGTTCACATTCCAGTGTACTCACACGCACACGAAGCCAGCTAAATTAGTGTGTAGCACGTCATCATCGGGCGCAGCGGCGAAGGATACGGCCAGCACGCGATGAGCAAGCGCAGCTCCCGCGGGCACGCCCACGAGCTTGGTGACTTATATCGACGCAACACGGTTCATATTCCAGTGTACTCACACGCACACGGAGCCAGCTAGATTAGTTTGTAGCACGTCATCATCAGGTGCAGCCGCGAAGGACACGGCCAGCACGCGATGCGCGAAGCTCGCGAGCGCACCTTTGCGACTTATGTCGACGCAATAAAGTTCAAGTTCCAATACCAATTACAAAGTATACTCACACGCACACGAAGCCAGCCAGGTTAGTATGTAACACGTCATCATCTGGTGCAGCCGCGAAGGATACTGCGAGCACGCGGTGAGCAAGCGCGGCGCCCGCGGGCACGCCCACGAGCTTGGTCAGCGCGTCCTCGGCACGCATGCCCAGCGGCATGCACGATGTCGGCAGGGATGGCGCGCCCACCTGCACGATAGTTCAAATTTAAATTCGAATAATTTAATCAATACATAGACCCTTTCTAGGGCACTTCTTCTTCTTCTTTTTTGATGATGTTGGCAATACACGTCGAGGTCGACTTGATTTGTGCCATTTTCAAGTATAAAATAAGTGATACGNCCGATTAAATCGCCGACAAATTTTGTCGGCCGATAGCTATCGCCGTAATAGTTAATTAATCGGGCTACTAATAGTAATAAGTTTAAACAAGTACGCACATTAAATTGATTTGGTATCCGCCAATCCCTCGTACGAATCTAACTGAAACTTATCTGCGAAGGTCATTGGAATTGAAACTTATTTTAGTTTGAAAAGGAAACTGAGGAAACGGAACCTAAGATCGGTTACCGAACGACCGTTATAACATATAGACATAGAGATAACGGTAAATTATTAATTTAAAATTATTATCGGGAAGTTTTTTTCAAAGTCAAAGTCAAAGTCAAAATTTCTTTATTTGTTTAGACTAATAAATAGTTCTTACAAATCGTCATTTTGCTCTTAAGGAGCCTCTACATGTCTCATAATCTTTTTACCCTACCAGCGCTTCGAGACCAACATTTGGCAAGTGCTGAGAAGAAGCGCCGCAACAAACTCAGTCACCACTGTCTGCCGGTTAATATAAATATAAATGAATAGTTTAGTGATAAATTAGAGGTCTCCTATCAAAGGTCTCATACATATAAAACGGGCTTTGTTGTGTAACGTAAAAATAACATGTCAAATATTATGCTCAACTTTATAACGATTCATTAATGTTTTTTCTCAAACTTTTTCGGTTGGAATTGTTATTTGAAATATTTAGAATCGTCCGATCACTTTATCATTACGTTGCCGATTGACACGCAAACCAATCCACCATATTTCTTAAAATTTGATGAATTTAAAATCTTAGGACATCGACTAGTAGTAAAACTTCGAAAATTCAGAAAACTAGAAATCAAACCTTGTTCAAAGTACTCCATTTCTTAATGAATTCAGCCCAGACCTCAACAAAGCTGAATAGATCCAACAAACTGTCACAAAGGTCAGCACAAATCCATAATCATACGCCATTCCTCATTCTGCATTCTCCAGCCATAAACCCCCATAAACTAGGTGCCCTACGACATAAATCCTGGTAAGGTCACCTGTATCAGTAAAAATATACGCTCCAATACCAGATAAGAAGTGCAACTGTCGCGGGCATTCCTTGAATGCTCGCTTTGTGGGGTTAGGAAAGTGTGGAGAGGGACTGTGGAAAAAAAATGTGTAAATCTGTCTTTTCAATTTTAAAACTCTAAGGCTTGTGTAAGACTTATTTTTTATATGTTACCTGTTTACCAGCTTATTATCTGTATGTTTTCCTAATAAAGAAAATTGAAAAAAGAATACTGTAGGTAAATAGGGACTTTTGTATTTTTCTAGCAGTGCACGTCTTTTGATTGATATTTAAGGCCTTAGATCTTATCTTATACGTGAATTTGTTACATTTTTTTAACGTTTGACTTTGCAAAATGTGTCCTAGGGAAAAATAAATTGATTTGTATACATAATACTTTCTGCTGTGCACGTTATATCAATACGAAATCAGTAGTAGTTAAGAATATATCTCACAGCTACACAAATGGTATATATATTGTAAAATACCTAGTTACTTGTAAGCAACCATGTAAAACCATGATCCGAGATAGGTAGGACCATCTTTTTCACATTTCAAATTAAAAAATACTGAATAGAACAATAGCATGATCACATTATCAATGCAGTCAGCTGATCGGGTAACGCATTGTAGAACCTACAACCGTAGTAAAGTCAACCTTTTTTTAAGCAAATAAATTAAATTTTAAGAAATACGAAAGCTCTCTCCATACTCCCGCACAGAGCTGCAATAAATCAATTGCTGCCGGCATCCGCGGTGCAGTCGATGTTATTGCATGCCCGCGTCGCCATCGCGTGTCGATCACGCTCCGATAGCGTTTCGACTTTTCGGTTGAGGGCACTGAATGTACAGACTTGGATGACTTATTTTAAAGAGCAGTAAATTAACACCTGTATTCACAAATGCTTGCTTAAGTGAAGCAGCAAATCGAACGCACAGCGTTGAATAGAGCTCTGTGATTGGTGCGTGTGTGACCCTGTGCGTCCACGCGCACTATGAGACCTCATAGTAATGTTTGTGAATAAGGGCGTAAGATACTTAAGCTCAACAAGAAAAAGACGTTCGAAATAGAAATAAATGGCGGCGAAAGTTAGGTCGAGCTCATAAAGGTAGCGCTGAGTGCAGGCCGCTACCGACCGGCCATTATGGAAATCATTGGGGGAGGCCTATGTTCAGCAGTGGACGTCCTATGGCTGAAATTATGATGATGAATGATTAGGAAAGCCAACCCCGTGTAACAGGATAAGAAAAAAGAAGAAGAAGAAGTTTAATCCTCGATTTACCAATGGTAAATTCGAGAGGGTTATGCAGTGGAGACTAAACACCTTATTGATGATGATGATGATTATGAAACTCAACATCTTTAATGACCGTAGTCATAATTTTTGAAAAAGCATTTTTGTCATCATCATCATCATCATTTCAGCCATAGGACGTCCACTGCTGAACATAGGCCTCCCCCAATGACTTCCACATCGCACGGTTGGTAGCGGCCTGCATCCAGCGCCTTCCCGCTACCTTTATCAGGTCGTCGGTCCACCTTGTGGGTGATGGAGAGGGCTATGCTCGGTGTTTCTTTACGAGATCGAATCAGAAATGAGGAGATCCGTAAACGAACTAAAGTCGCTGACATAGCCCGACGGATCAGCAAGCATTTTTGTATCATGAAAAATTTGCGCTTTGCCGGCTTGACTTGCACTTATATTTTATACCCGAATGTTTTTTTATGCATAACAAGGTAGGTATTTGACCGCAATCGCACCTGGTGTTAAGCGAGATGCAGTCTAGGATGGTACATTTATCTGCCCTGTTAAGTGCCTATTCACTCTCGCCTTGAAAGGCCCGGATTGTAATGTTTGGGAAAGACAGAAGCAGGAAGTTAATTCCAGTACGTTTTAATGTGTAATTTTTTTATTAAAAGTTTTTATTTTTAAATTTAATAAGTAATTTTCATGAAAATTTCAAGTAATCAAAATCGGTGTCCGTCAGTGTACACTCACTTGCATAGTTAGAGACGACGGAAGGTTGTACCGTGACCTTATTACTCGTGCTTGACGTGCATCGATTCGGCAATTTCAGCCCCAGTGAAAGCTAATCAATGTTTTATTAGTTTCAAATCTAAGTCTAAAATGCAATGGCACAATTGAAGTCCATTCAGTAGCATTACACTAAAAATACTCAAATAATACTAAAGTTTGTTCGAAAATTCTTTGGAGGATAGTAATGATCTTGGTAGGTAGACAGAATCAGAGTTATGGGCATAGCACACAGGCTTAGAAAGCTGAAGCCAATAAAGCAGTAGGCCAGGTCATATCTAAGAAGAACTTAACTCCTGGTGTAAATGAGTTCTGGAATGGAGATCGCGACTCAGTCACGGACTAAAGACACCATCGAGATAGGTGACGACTAAGTGATGATTTACAGAATGTTGCTAACAGAAGCTATTATAGATGCGACAAGAAGAAGGTAGTGTAAAAGGGCGCTAGTTGGGGAATTCTTTATCAATTTCTATGCACTGTTAAGTGTATAGGCTGATGATAATGATGACACTTTAAAAGGTAAGGAAATTTTAACTAAATGAAACTCATGCTGGATGCTATTATACTATCACAACCATGTAATACGTATTAAGCTCGAAGCAATTGTTACAGAATTTTCCACGAGGTTATTAGAGTCTACTACGCGTATCTCCACTGTGGCCATATTTCAGAATGCTATTTCACTTTTATGTTTCAAGCAAAATTACTAACTACCGTCACGCCACTGCAGGAAGACAGACAGATAAAATGGACGACTATTTATCGAAATCAGCTGGAATTGTTTTCGGGAATTCGGTATGACAGGCTGATTTGTAACTGAAGCGTGCGAAATGCAGTGATTGGAAGGATGATCGTTAAAGTGAATTGCATGGAAAACCGTTCAGCCAAGGGTTAATAGATGGTTGTTGGAATCGTGAGGTTAACTCTGATATGCCCCTTTGAAGAATCGTTCTATTTTGATGTCAGTAATAAAGCTCTATTTTGTTACTAAAAATGAATACGTCGAAATCATTGTGAGAAAAAAAATCTGGTCAATTGTTCGGTCAAACAATACCTATGAATTGTATTGGATTAAAATTGTATTGGACTAGATTAAAATCTGTGGTCAAGCTGTGTGCCTACCATGAGTTTACGTTAGGTGTGCTCGCTAGCGACTGCGTAAAAAAATGACATTTAAATGTATGACATATTGTGCAGCGCCCCTAGCGGCCACTTTCAAGAAATAAAATCTTCATAGAATTTTTTGACGTAATCGCTAGCGAGCTCACCTATCGTAAACTCATGGTAGGCACACTGAACTATGGATCTTCATTAATAATTGAAACGAAATGTAGGTATCTCAATTTTAAAATGCTGCTATGACATCTGCCCAGTATTTTTTTTATATAAATAGCCTGTTAAAATGTGCCTAATTAGGTATCAACTCAAGATGTAACGAAAATTTAGGTACTACATTATGGAAGCAACAAAAATTGTGAGTAACTACACACGACAATTTAATAAGTCCTCGTTCGTTCGTTCGTTTTAGCCGAAAGACGTCCACTGCTGGACAAAGGCCTCCCTTAAGGATTTCCACAAACACCGGTCCTGCGCCGCTCGCATCCAGGCACCTCCCGCGACCTTCACCAGATCGTCGGTCCACCTAGTCGGTTCAAGTCCTAAATTATACTAGACTAGCGGCCGCCCACGACTTCGTACGCGTGAATCCCGTTTTTCCCGCTAATTCCCGTTCCCGTGGGAATTTCGGAAATTTCTTTCTTAGTGCACCTCTACGGTACCTACCTAAG